CCAAGCGATCTACCCACACTACCTTTGAGATCAACGTATTGAGCACCCCTGATCTATAGCATATCAATATCTTCCACTTAAACTGTTGTCCAGAGCATCAGCAGTTTAAAGAGTGTAAAAGGGAAGATTGATATATTTTCTGACCAATTTCTGCCAAATGTAAAATAATATAATTAAAAGAACATTGTAAAATGTACCTTTTGAAGTATGTCTTACAGCATGGACTTCAGGCGATTCCTGTCCCTCTGCTGTTGGCAATCTGGGTGTCTTCAGGTTCTGAGGGATTTTATTCCCCTCAGTTCGTAGAATAGTCTCCTCTGTTGGGTTTATAAAAATTAAAAGCTCTTCATTAACTTTACTGTAGAAATGCTGACCATAACCAATAATATTGGAGAGGAAATTGATCACACTTGGAAAAGAAAGAACTATTTTTCCCACTTCCATGACTGGTCATATTGCTGTAACCCTGACCAAAGGTATGTCATAGTGTATATACTGCAATTGTAGCAAACTAAAGTGTTTATGCAAGACCAATAGTAAAAGACAGAACAACAAATCCAAAATAAAAACGACCGCTAAACGTTTTTTGTGAATATTTTATAAACTGAAGCACTTATTTTTTCTACATTAAATTACTAACAACATACCATCAACGGCAGAAGCAACGTTTCCTTCCTCTATGTTCCCGTTACCTCCTTCTTTTTCTTCTTCTTCATCATCATCACTACCAAGAACTCTTTCTGTTGGAGATATACCGAGTATAGGTTAAACATTGTGAAGCAATTAGAATAATTGAGAAAAAAGACATAATGACAAATAACATATGGCCCTATTGTGATTTCATCCAAGTTCTTTCCATGAAACTCTGCTAATCTCCCTTGCTCAAGTGCCATTAGAATTTTGCTGATCTTGGCAAGTTGAAGTGTCTTCTCCGGTAATCGATAGAATTCACGAGGAATTCTAATATCGTGACCAAGAAAGTTGGCCAGCTGGTCCATTTCTGTGTCTGTCATGTTCAGCACGGGGGAAAGGATTGCAGCATGCTTTCTGAGTCTGGTCGATGTCAGTGAGTTTGGACACTTAGCACCACATGTTTTTGCAAAGCCACGTATGCAGTCTGAACCACGGAAATGTGTCATAGCTGTAGGTCTTGCAAACATATATGCATTGTCTTTTAGAACCCCACAATCTTCTCTATACTTCACTAGGAGTTCTAATGCGCACAGCATTTTCGGAGTCAGAAGAATTGGAACTGGTCTGCCTCGCTTTCCCCTGATGACAATCCTTGAGAAATGTCTGCACAGTTTTTTTTCCACTTCAGAGAGTGCCCAGTCCACATCCTCGTGGGGATCAGAAGTGTCCCTTGACAGAAATGCAGTCAGCGGCATGCTTGCTACTTCTCCTTCCCTGCGTCGATTGAAGAGGATAATCTGTGTTAAACACACCTTTGCCAGTTCCGTCCAGGACATTCTAGAAGGTGTTCCAGATAGTTTACTGCTGCACTCATCTTGCATCGCACTGAGAAACTGATGCATTTTTTGAACATCCTCAGTGAATGGCATAAGAGTGGGAACATTCCATTTCGATTCAGCAATGTTCCTGAGAGCCGTTGAAGAAATCATCTCGTTCCATTTCTCACGGTGAACTTGTTGAAATTCTGTGGCCTTTCTCACAAGTTCATGATTGTTAGCTATTAACCCATGAGCTTTCAACAGTTTGCTGACCTTGACCAGCGCATGACCAAGTTTGCAAGGGATGGAATCTGAAATGTTCCAGTTCCACTATCATAGCCACAAGTGACCTTAACAGCTCTGACCGTCTCCAAGTACTTCTTAGGATTAATTAAATCCTCCAGACTGGTGACCTTTCTGCCATTGTGAATTAACTGTCCCAATTCTCTCATCTTCTCCCTTACATTTGGTTTGTTTTTGTTGGAATTCCCACCTTTGTTCAACAAGTGCTGCCCAAGATCAGTGATAACATGAGCCTCATCCCATTACCCCTCCTCGACTCCTCTCTTCCCCTCCTCCGGGACTTGACCCGGAAATCGATCAAGACACGCCATTTTGAAGGACGTCCCAATAGCTGAAATGCACACGGAGGAGTCGAGGAGGGGTGAGGGAGGAGGGGTGCGGGAGGAGACGAAAGGGAGGATACACGAGAGCAGACTACGCGGAAGTGTTTTCACTACTCGCGTATAAAAGCCCCGCCCCCACCTTCACAGCTGGTCGATTTCAACAGAGGAAAACCGACCACTGGAAGATGAGTGGAAAAGCGTCACATAAATGTATAAGTGCTCACAGCTCCGTGGGAATGATTATGTGCAATTCATTTCTTAAGGCTATACTAACAATTTAAGTC